TCGGCCCTTGAAAACATGGCAAACATGTGATGTGGTTGTCACACACACCCAGTTCCTCTGTTTGTTCTTCCACACGACCCAGGTTCACTTTCAGGTATGACATTTATTTCTCAACCCTTTTCCACTGCCACCAGAGGATTTATTCCCCACTCTATCAAATATTAAATCACAGTTCTCCAGTATAACAGTGTTTATGTGTTTATCAGCAAATCATGTAAAGTGAATCATGGATGGTCTTATTTTATTCATTCAATAAATTGTGCTTTGGTAACATTTATATTTGCTTACGTAGAATCATTTTAATCAAGGTATTTATTCATTTCTTTTCACTTCTAACTCTTTCCAATCATAACCATAAACCATACAAGGTTTGTACTTTCCTTATCTTATTCTCGATCTCTCTATTATCCTTCTCTTACACAAGGCTGGTCCTAACTGCCTAAACTGCTTTTCTCCAACTAATATCATTAACTGAAGTCCCTAACTCTAACTCATATCCCTAACTCATCCCTAACTCTTAACTTCTAACTGATATCCCTAACTGATCTTTAACTGTCTTCCATTCTTCTTATATTTCTTTAGTTCCGCCTCTTCTGTACAACCATTGGCTCCTGAATCAGGGTTCCATTGTGATGGACAGGAGTGGTTACTGACCTGTCCGTCACAGTGGCCCTCATGGTGAAAAGTTTGGAGACTCATGCACTAGTGTATCAGCCCATAAGCATTCCTGAATCTGATGGCTTTTAGAAGTGTTGAGCAATAATTTTTCAGCTTGTTTCAAAGTCTGTAGTTATGTGAGTGGCATCCCTAATCCCCCCCACAAGGGGCATAAGTGAGTGAGGAGGCTGGAATGGTCACATGCTGAGCCAAGAAAACTTTTCTGAACCCTTGTTTCCAGTCAGTCCGTCTGCATCTGAGAAACGGGTGTAGCAGCTCAGCTGCCTGGGAAGGACTTGCCTCTAGAATCCTCCATGTTAAACATCAGCATCCTAGGAGGAAGTGCACTGGAGTCGGTCTGGTGGCGCCATGTGAAGGAAGGCTGATTTTTAAACAGCTGGTCAGCAGGTTCAAAATGGCTACCGGGTAACTAAAATGGCTCCCTGCTTTGTTTAGGGACGGATTCCTCCATCCCTAAATGGCTGCCATATGGAGGATCTTCGCTGGATGGTGAGTTTTTACCCCATTGGAAGGCATTGAATGGGTTTCAATGCATTTCAATGGGGTTTTTATTTTTGTTTTACAAAGTTTTTGCTTAACGGCGATTTTCCTGGAACGGATTATCGTCGTTAAGCAAGGCACCACTGTAACAGGGTCTTGTGGCACTATAAAGACTGGCATTAGCTTTTGTTGACTATACTCCATACACGGTTTCACTTATCTGCTGCTTTAAATAAATAAACAAACAAACAAACAAACAAACAAACAAACAAACAAACAAACAAACAAACAAACAAATAAATAAATAAATAAATAAATATTCCCATTCAGCAAATCAGTGACTATGCTGATGAAGAATGATGGAACTGCATCCATCATATTTAGAGGGCACCAGAGTAGGGTAGGTAGCTGTGTGTGTCCCTTTTCAAGCAAATCACACCAGCTGATTTAGCATGGAGATGGTTACGGAGGGGGGGGGAGCAGTGACCACTACTTGTCCATCTTTATTCCTTGTTTGCTTCCTGACATTTTCATTACTCCTTTGCATGTTCCACAACTTTAAATCAGGTTGCATTCAATGTCAGCCTCGCTTGCACAGTCTGTAATTCTTGGGGCTTCCTAAGCAAAATGTGATCAGAAGCGTTAATAAAACATTGAGTTATTCTCCCCTCGTCATCATACACAGGTGCTGAGTCTGAGAAGAATCCAAACAAATTCTCATTCTTCCATAGTCATGCTTCCTCTTAAACAAGCTGTACACAGAGTTCAGCTACTATTGTTAATCTTCACAGTCATCTTAATGCACACATTTATTTATTTATTTATTTATTTATTTATTTATTTATTTATTTATTTATTTATTTATTTATTTATTTATTTATT